GCTAACAAGACTAATTCTTTTCCTACTCTCTAAACTAACCCGCTTCGAACAAAAAGGAAATGATTATTGACTGATCCCTCAGATTCAATAATCCCACTTTGCCATGTATTGGCGGGGACAATCGTTGTCTATGACTGTTTTTTCATTTGTTTTCATGAACGAACATCACAATAACATTATTTGTACAGTGATAGTATCTTTTAAGCGGAAAAGTGATTAGGCCCGCAAGTCATCAACTTAAGCCGCCATTTAGGCGCTTGTAATATTTCAATGATTTAGTCATTTATACGACAATTATCTATATGTTATATTTACAATGTCTAGATTGCTACAAGAGAATACCAACAGTTTATAACCTGTTAATCGCTAACATTGTTTGCTATCCCAAGGTAACTAAAAAGAATGACATATCATCCTACAAATGATTACAGAAAGGCCTGATTCATGAAAAATGAGACCCAACGGCCTTTTCTGGGTAATTTCTTGTTAGATGAAAATAATTGCTTTGACATGCGAAAAAAGTTACAGTAGATAACAATTACAGTGCCATATCTTTTTTAGGTAAAAACATCAAACAAGCGTTTGTCGAGAAAGTATTTGTGTCATCATTATAACTTTTAAATACATTTTAAAAGAACTTCCCTTAACTTTTAAGACATAAAAGGATATTAATGAGGCATATCGTAATAGTCTTAATTCTGCTCAATTTTTTTTTTTATTGACACACAACGTTACATCATATCAGAACATTCATTTTCATAAAACATCTTCTAAGATGTTTTGAATCCAGGATTAAATTTCTTTAAGGTTTGAATTTTTCATGATGCCAAAAAAAAACAATTGTAGAACTATAAGAACATGAGAACACAAATGGTGAAACAGAGAATTAACTCTGAAGTGTAAATTAAAGTGCAACTTGCTTCACCATCCTAAATCGTCCCCGACTTTCTCTGTGCGACCTCGTAGCTCAGTCGGCAGAGTAACGGTAGATCTAATCCGGAGGTCGTGGGTTCGATTCCCACCGAGGTCAAAAGATTTCACCATTTATAAGAACATGAGCCTTTTTTATTAAACCTTTGTTATCGTTGGCGTATTTGGCTTTCCCAAGCTTCTTACGTAAATAATTCCACCGACAAATCCAACGGAGGGTCCTATTTTCTTAACTCAACCGGTAAAAAAACTAACTTTTTGGTTGAAATGCCGCCCTGTCCCGTAGGGGGAGTCTCTGATTGGCTGACCATTGCTTACAGCTGAATAAAAGAAATTTTACAGAGCAATTCTGACAGTCCTCCAGATGTTGAAGGAAGATTAAGGTAGGTAGCTTACTCAAAGCAGATATCTTAAGAGTTTTACTAGTCTTGTAATTTCACGAATCTTTAGAGAGTTTTGACTTATTACAATATGACGCGCTCCTTACCGTTTATAACTCTACATGTATATGTGTCGTCTGATTAGTGGAGAAATTTACGTTTTGTGACACCACAACAGGTTTCTGCTTCCCAAATGTATTATCGCAGATTTTCTTTTGCTTGTAACAGGATGCCACGGTATGGTTTAATGAAATCCTTTTACACTAAGCAAAGTGCAACCAAGAGAATATAAACTAATAATCTCATGTTACAGCTCAATATCTCAGTTTCTTTAAAATTGTTGGGCTGTTAGTGATAGTCATGGTTTTGGAGTGTTTAAGAGATAAAAGATTTGCGGAGAGTGATAAGGTCAGTTTCTTTTTCACAATATTTCACTGTGCAGACCGACCGTAAGCTGCTAAGTGACGTTTTTTGCCCTGTATGTCTAAAATAATATTATCTGCCTTCGGAAAATTGATTTGCAAACTAATGTTGTCGATGCAAATCGATCATTGATTGGTTAGAGTAAGCATGTCTTCTAAAAGCTGTTCGAAACATTCCAATCCGCTTCCCAAGATTAACATAGCTATGAATGTAAAGCCCTAAAATATTTCTTTAAATTTGAGTTAAACAATGTCATTTAAATTCATGTTATTGCTTAATCCTCCACAATTTGTTGCTCGTTGTAAAAATTTTAGCAAAGATGAGTGTTGCACTTTAAAAAAGTTAAAGATAAGTTTGCGAGTCCGTTGAATTCACCCCCTTCCACCGTAAACTATATCGCTGAAACCAAAGAGATTATCTGTTTTTTTCTTTGAATAATTAAAAATGCGTTTCTCAACGATTCGAATGGCGAGGCTTGATCTTACAAGTACTGATAATGTTTTTCGCAGTATAATAACTGAAGCGAGGGAATTCCTTCCGCCTATGTTTCCCTAACATAGGAAGACACCGCAAAATGCCCTAAATACTACGGGAAAACGTTTCTTGAGGACCACAAAGTCGCTTCAATACCTCGCACTATTCTATCAGACAGGTGTTTAATGCAGTGGCTTTTAAGGAGTTTAGAGTGCTTCTGACTGGGAAATCTGGATTTAGCGTTTGGGATCCGGAGTTTCGAATTTTGCAATCAAGTATGAAATCCAAATCTGGACTTCGACTTTAAGAAATCTTTCTTCGAAGTAGATTTCAATTAAGAAATCCAACACCGGATCTAAAAGATTTCTTTATTGTGCGTTCTTTTTCTTGTTTTGTTTTTTTTTTTGAGAGATCCGATAAAGGATTTTCAAAGCTGATCGCGTTAACAGAGGTTACGCATTAGCGCGTTTCTTCGATTGAGCAGCGTACACAAGACGCGCACAATTCAGTTCTCTCTGCTTTCGCTTCTTTACTCACAGGATTACCCTGGCAGCTGCGTCTGATGTTATTTTTTTTAGAT